GGAGGAGGTGGAGTCACAGTGGTACCATCCACTAGTCTAAGTAGGTCTTCGTCCAAAGACTGGACAAGTGTTGAAGAATTCTTTTTATTGACTCCAGGCTGAGGGACTGATTACCTCAAACTCCTCCTCTCCTTATGCCTTCCTGCTTTATATAAGACTGATGAAGGCACTGTGTGGCGAAACGTTTCTTCAGTAAAGATTCCCATATGTTGCATAAGTGTCTCAATTCTTCAACTTGTCGGTTTTCAAAACCATTCAACAAATGATTTCATTCCATTCCCCGTTTGGTGTACTAGCCTCCACAAGCAGTATATATATCAGTGTAACCACGAACGAGTGGTATTCAATCAATAACCACACTGCGACTAGCCGAATCACGGTAAAGCACCTAGCTCTGCCTGGCGCATGATTCTTGTAGGATTTGCTGGTCCTGTGGGCTAGATCATCATGTGATTTTCGCTCACCATTAAGCGGGCAAAAATGACATGCGTTCGAGTCCTCGGCTAGTCGCAATGTTGTTATTGGTTAAATACCATTCATTCAATGTTACAATAATATATGTATGTATATATATATATGTTGGATTATGTATTGGTAGATAAAAGACTGTTGAGTAGACTTCAGGCTGTACATGTTTATAGAGGGGCCACAGATATATCAGATCACTTTCTAGTTGTAGCTACACTGAGAGTAAAAGGTAGATGGGATACAAGGAGAATAGAAGCATCAGGGAAGAGAGAGGTGAAGGTTTATAAACTAAAAGAGGAGGCAGTTAGGGTAAGATATAAAAAGCTATTGGAGGATAGATGGGCTAATGAGAGCATAGGCAATGGGGTCGAAGAGGTACGGGGTAGGTTTAAAAATGTAGTGTTAGAGTGTTCAGCAGAAGTTTGTGGTTACAGGAAGTGGGTGCAGGAGGGAAGAGGAGCGATTGTGGAATGATGATGTAAGAGAGTAGTAAGGGAGAAAAAGTTAGCATATGAGAAGTTTTTACAAAGTAGAAGTGATGCAAGGAGGGAAGAGTATATGGAGAAAAAGAGAGAGGTTAAGAGAGTGGTGAAGCAATGTAAAAAGATAGCAAATGAGAGAGTGGGTGAGATGTTATCAACAAATTTTGTTGAAAATAAGAAAAAGTTTTGGAGTGAGATTAACAAGTTAAGAAAGCCTAGAGAACAAATGGATTTGTCAGTTAAAAATAGGAGAGGAGAGTTATTAAATGGAGAGTTAGAGGTATTGGGAAGATGGAGGGAATATTTTGAGGAATTGTTAAATGTTGATGAAGATAGGGAAGCTGTGATTTCGTGTATAGGGCAAGGAGGAATAACATCTTGTAGGAGTGAGGAAGAGCCAGTTGTGAGTGTGGAGGAAGTTCGTGAGGCAGTAGATAAAATGAAAGGGGGTAAGGCAGCCGGGATTGATGGGATAAAGATAGAAATGTTTAAAAGCAGGTGGGGATATAGTTTTGGAGTGGTTGGTGCAATTATTTAATAAATGTATGGAAGAGGGCAAGGTACCTAGGGATTGGCAGAGAGCATGCATAGTTCCTTTGTATAAAAACAAAGGGGATAAAAAGAGAGTGCAAAAATTATAGGGGGATAAGTCTGTTGAGTGTACCTGGTAAAGTGTATGGTAGAGTTATAATTGAAAAAATAAGAGTAAGACGGAGAATAGGATAGCAGATGAACAAGGAGGCTTTAGGAAAGGTAGGGGTGTGTGGACCAGGTGTTTACAGTGAAACATATAAGTGAACAGTATTTAGATAAGGCTAAAGAGGTCTTTGTGGCATTTATGGATTTGGAAAAGGCGTATGACAGGGTGGATAGGGGGTGCAATGTGGCAGATGTTGCAAGTGTATGGTGTAGGAGGTAGGTTACTGAAAGCAGTGAAGAGTTTTTACGAGGATAGTGAGGCTCAAGTTAGAGTATGTAGGAAAGAGGGAAATTTTTTTCCCAGTAAAAGTAGGCCTTAGACAAGGATGTGTGATGTCACCGTGGTTGTTTAATATATTTATAGATGGGGTTTTTAAGAGAAGTAAATGCGAGGGTCTTGGCAAGAGGAGTGGAGTTAAAAGATAAAGAATCACACACAAAGTGGGAGTTGTCACAGCTGCTCTTTGCTGATGACACTGTGCTCTTGGGAGATTCTGAAGAGAAGTTGCAGAGATTGGTGGATGAATTTGGTAGGGTGTGCAAAAGAAGAAAATTAAAGATGAATACAGGAAAGAGTAAGGTTATGAGGATAACAAAAAGATTAGGTGATGAAAGATTGAATATCAGATTGGAGGGAGAGAGTATGGAGGAGGTGAACGTATTCAGATATTTGGGAGTGGACGTGTCAGCGGATGGGTCTATGAAAGATGAGGTGAATCATAGAATTGATGAGGGAAAAGAGTGAGTGGTGCACTTAGGAGTCTGTGGAGACAAAGAACTTTGTCCTTGGAGGCAAAGAGGGGAATGTATGAGAGTATAGTTTTTTCCAACGCTCTTATATGGGTGTGAAGCGTGGGTGATGAATGTTGCAGCGAGGAGAATGCTGGGAGGCAGTGGAGATGTCATGTCTGAGGGCAATGTGTGGTGTGAATATAATGCAGAGAATTCGTAGTTTGGAAGTTAGGAGGAGGTGCGGGATTGCCAAAACTGTTGTCCAGAGGGCTGAGGAAGGGTTGTTGAGGTGGTTCGGACATGTAGAGAGAATGGAGCAAAACAGAATGATTTCAAGAGTGTATCAGTCTGTAGTGGAAGGAAGGCGAGGTAGGGGTCGGCCTAGGAAAGGTTGGAGGGAGGGGGTAAAGGAGGTTTTGTGTGCGAGGGGCTTGGACTTCCAACAGGCATGCGTGAGCGTGTTTGATAGGAGTGAATGGAGACAAATGGTTTTTAATATTTGACGTGCTGTTGGAGTGTGAGCAAAGTAACATTTATGAAGGGATTCAGGGAAACCGGCAGGCCGGACTTGAGTCCTGGAGATGGGAAGTACAGTGCCTGCACTCTGAAGGAGGGGTGTTAATGTTGCAGTTTAAAAACTGTAGTGTAAAGCACCCTTCTGGCAAGACAGTGATGGAGTGAATGATGGTGAAAGTTTTTCTTTTTCGGGCCACCCTGCCTTGGTGGGAATCGGCCAGTGTGATAATAAAATAAAAAATAAAAATATATATATATATTACGGTAAAACTGGTAAGAGTCTCGAACTAAGATTAAAACAACATAAATATAGAATTAGAACTGGACAAGATTCCAATGCTCTATTTATTCATGTGAGAGATTTTAACCATCCAATTGATTTTCAAAAAGTTGAGAAAGTAGTATCAAGCAAGTCCATGGTCGACACGAATATAATTGAATCTTGTTTTATAAAAAGCAGTTTTGACAATAACATTAATATTTCTTTTGGTTTATATAAATTGGAAACATTTATAATTAATAAAATTTGGGAAGAATTTAATGATACATTAGACAGGTAAAATATCTTAATGCTTGGGTAGAGTATCAGTTGTGTTTCACAGAGTCGGGTGTTGTGACGCGACAGTGAGGTGTAGTGTTGCCCTTGTATGCCTTCCTGTTGATGTTTTGTTTTTATAGTACCTTGATAATGTGAGAAGTCACGAATGCGCTTTGAATTTCGCTATTCTCTCACAGTGGTTGTTCCTCATATATATATATATATATATATATATATATATATATATATATATATATATATATATATATATATATATATATATATATATGTCGTGGCGAGTATGTAAAACTGGTCAATTAGCAAGAACTTATTTAAAATTAAGTCCTTTCTAAAATTTTCTCTTATACGCTTAAAGATATATTTTTTCATTAATGTTAATATAAAAAATTTTAATTTTGCTCCAAAAGAATCTTAGAAAACTTACCTAACCTTATTATAATAAGAACAATTTATTTTAGCCTAACCCAACTAAATATATTTTAGATTTGTTTACAGTAATTTAATACTAAACAAACACAATGAAATATATTTTTTTCGTTAGGTTCAGAATGTTTTTGGCGAAATTATTGCATACACAAATTTTCACTTGTCCTTATGGCAAGATGAACGTTGCTATTTAAGCCAAGATCGGAATTTCTGCTTATTCGGCACGACATATATATATATATATAAAATATATATATATATATATATATATATATAATATATTAATATATATTTTAAATATATATATACTTTAATTGCAGATTGGTGGTTAGTAAGTGGAATGACCTGGATGAGGAAATGGTGGAAGCTGAATCAATAATATCGTACCATTGTATCTGTGTAGGAGTGAGAGTGTGAAGGAGGTTTTGAGAGGAAGGACTTGAGCATCCAACAGGTATGTGAGTTAGAGCGGCGTGAGTCAAAACAAATGATTTTTGGGGCATTGACGTGCTGTAGAGATGTTGCTGTGGTGATGTTGGTGAATGGTATTGCTGTGGTGTTGCTATGGTGGTGTTGGTGTGGGGGTATTGCTGCAGTGGTGTTGTTGTAGAGGTGTTGTTGTGGTAGTGTTGATGTGGTAGTGGTGTTGCCGTGATGGTGTTACTGTGGTGGTGTTGCTGTGATGGTGGTGTTGCTGTGGTGGTGGTGGTGTTGCTGTGATGATGGTGTTGATATGGTGGCGGTGTTGCTGTGCCGGTTGTGTTGTTTTGGTGGTGGTGTTTACTTGCTGGATGTGTTGCTGTGGTGTGGTGTTTCTGTAGTGGTGGTGTTGATGTGGTGATGATGTTGCTGTGCTGGTTGTGTTGCTGTGGTGGTGGTGGTGTTACTGTAGTGGTGGTGTTGATGTGGTGGTGGTGTTGCTGTGGTGGTGGTGTTACTGTGTTGGTGTTGCTGTGGTAGTTGTGTTGCTGTGGTGGTGATGTTGTGTGAGGGGGGAGAATAGTAGTTGTACAGGCAGGTGTGGAGGCAGCAGTTTTACTGACATGTGTGTTCAACAGGTGTCCGTGCAGGTATGGAAAGTCTCTCTCTAACTCTCACCGGTGCTGTCTCTCACACAGGTGCTGAGTGGAAGCTGCTGACAGATGCTGAGAAGAGACCTTTCATCGACGAGGCCAAAAGACTCAGGTAAGTACCCTCCTGTCATCCCTTGTTGGGTAGCTGTCTCTCTGTGGCTTGTCTAACCATCTCTCTCTCTCTCTCTCTCTCTCTCTCTCTCTCTCTCTCTCTCTCTCTCTCTCTCTCTCTCTCTCTCTCTCTCTCTCTCTCTCTCTCTTTGTGGGCCACCTTCCTTGCCCCACAATGCACCACCATGCAGAGGAGGTGTCGCTCTGAACACAACAATAGCGAGCTAGGAGATGGGTGGACAATGGCTTCCGTGAGTCTGCATGGCTGTTCGGGGAGGCGGTCGGCCGTGCCCACGAAAGCTAATACTCTAGCCAGCCTTGGGGGCAAAAGAGTGCCACCTGCAATTTTTCTCCGAGTGCCACTGGTCAATGATATCCTTCGACGTTTCAGTCTTACTGACAAGGGCCTGGAGGATCTGTGGTTTGGTTGTGAGAGCTGGTATGTGGTCATTAGTCCAGGTTGGATGCTGGTACGTGGTCGTTGGCCCAGGTTGGGTGCTGGTACGTGGTCGCTGGTGTACATGAGTACTGGTTCGCGTTTGTTGATCTGATCGGTCTCTTTTCCAGTGTCGTTTCCCGCTTTCATTCACCTATTGCTACTGTTGGTCGCTGGTACTCGGTCACTGTCCTGCCATATGGTAAACAATGTGAAGGTTACTGGATGAACACACGCTGGATGAAAGAAAATAAACAATTCCAGCACTGTACTTCCGGACCTTAGAAATAATATAGGCATTGTACTGTGGAACCTTATGTATCAGCTCCCTGGTTTAAGGGTCTTCATGGTGTCCTCAGACAGCGTCGCGGTAACAAGTTCAAGGTGAAGGAGATTGCCAGTGGTGCAGTTAAGGAAGATCACCGTGACCACATGAAGTACACTGAGCTGGATGAATGTGCTTTGCATAGGTGCAAACAGACTGACACTAGCGACAACCCTTCTGCTACTTCCACCTCTGCTGACGCAACCAATGACTGTTTCCTTGTCCAAACACGTATTTATAGTATGTGACCCAGGACAAGAGTACATTTCTGTGACACTGACACAAGGCCTGACTTGTCCGACTTCTTCCTTGACTACACTATCTTCTCGCTGAAATATATATAATATTATATATATATATATATATATATATATATATATATAGTTATAATATATATATATATATTATTATATATATATATATATATATATATATATATATATATATATGCAAGGAATTCGCAAGAGCAGGCGAAATATACACTAACACTGATCTCAGGCTGAAGGAGACTCGAACCTACGAACCTTAGAACAAGGTACGCAGTGCTATACCAATGCATTGTAAAATCTCTAGTAAGGCTGATGCATGCAGGGATGGATGAAAAGCTGTAAGCCTTCTCCCTGAAGCTGGCTGCCTTGGATCAACGTGTAGCGCATGCTACACGCCAAGGTATTGTCCAGTGTGGGTAGATTGGTATAGCACTGCGTACATTGTTCTAAGGTTCGAAGGTTCGAGTCTCCTACAGCCAGAGATCAGTGTTTATATATATATATATATTATATATATAATATATATATATATATATATATATATATAATATATATATATATATAATAGAGTAAGAATTGAGGTAAACCAAAAACGGAATAGGAAAGCTTAAACAAAATGGATTAAAAGATGAAAATAAGCAATGAATGAGATCCATGGGCTCAATAAACAAAAAATAATTGAAGATGTGGAACAACAAATAATATACAAGGAAACAAGGAATAATGAGGAAGACACAGATATACATGAAACAGGATAATGTAGGGCAATAAGCATAAAAAATTAATATTTATTGTAGTACAGAAGATCAGTGCATTAAGAACAGAGAGTAATATGGTACATTGCTTGCATTAAAAAATCTTAAATGAGTTACATACATAAGAAAAACTTTGTTAAATCGCATAATAGATAAACTTGAAATACAATGGTAGTTAAGATGTTTGTATGGCAGTACAAGTGGTATGGAAGATGATGTTGCATCAGATGATAGTTCAACAAGTGTGAGTAATTTGTTGAGGTCTTTCTGACTTAGCGCCTCATGTCTATTTAGTGAGTTGGGAGTTTCAGTAATTATTTTTGCCATCTTCGGTGTAACAGTGATTAATTTTACAGGGATTATTCTTACGCTTTTGTCTCAGTGTTCACGGTAGATTCTGTGGCTTTTTGGTGAATCAGTCATTGATGAGGTCTCTTTTAAAAGCGATATTGGCAAATTTGATCATTATGGACGGTGAGGAACCACTCACAGATTTGCTTATCCTGTATGCGTCTTTGATGTGTGAAGGATTATTGTTATATTTAAGATCACTTATAGAAACATCAAACACGATACCTACACAACTTTCACCTGTAACTTCATTATGATGACAGAGTCATTATAAGTAGCTATTTTGGATCACATGTTACTCCTGGTCGACTTCTTCAGCTTGTTGTGGAGATCCTCGAATCTCGTGTCTTTTCGTGATTGCAGAGACGTTGTAGGTCCTTGAGTGGTTAGGCCAGCCTCGTTTGTTTATCTGCTAATTCATTATGGATTTCAATTCAGTTGTTCTGTTAGCTTGGCTGGCAACATCTTGTAGTTGTGTGTAGTTGGTCAAGTAGGTCGGCGTCGATGCAGGACGCCTACCTACCACACTCTTCTCAACAGTTGGAGAATTCATGTCAGGATGCTGGAGTGCGTCCAGCCGTGACTCCAGAGTGATGAAAGTTGAATGTGGTACGTACGTTTGAGACAGATGGCTAAGATATCTTGCGGCTGGCACTGATACATAAATATCGCTGATACAGCAAAATTCGCAGAAGAGTAATTTCACCAGTTTTCCATAAAATTTCATACCTTTTGTTTTATTACCGTCAAAAAACGATCCTCTACCATTTCATATGAAAAATAACAAAAATTTTTTTGAAAATTCTTGGACATTCTTGGGGTCAGTTCCCGATCAGCCGGGCTGTGGCTCGTACGTTGGTTTGCGTGCAGCCAGCAGCAACAGCCTGGTTGATCAGGCTCTGATCCACCAGGAGGCCTGGTCACAGACCGGGCCGCGGGGGCGTTGACCCCCGGAACTCTCTCCAGGTAAACTCCAGGAAGCAATGACTGCTGGTGTTGTTATGGTCACGTCTGCTGCTGCAGAGAGTAGCTTGTTTCTCTGCGTCTTGGAGGGTTATTTAAGTTGGTTAGTGAGGGGCTCAGGTTATATTATGCTTCCACATACCCTGTTGTTGTAGCTCAGCCGTTAAATCATCCGTTGGGACTTGTTTACATCAAAATAGGAGAGAAAATGTGGAGTTTTGGAAGACTAAGAAACATGTAGACTGTATACCTCAGTACCATAGTTAAAACAATGTAGACTGTATACCTCAGTACCATAGTTAAAACAATGTAGACTGTATACTTCAGTACCATAGTGACTAACACTCGTCAGCACAACCGTGACTACACTCGTTAGCACCACCGTGACTACACTCGTTAGCACAACCGTGACTACACTCGTTAGCACCACCGTGACTACACTCGTTAGCACCACCGTGATTACACTCGTCAGCACCACCGTGATTACACTCGTCACCGCCACCGTGACTAACACTCTCCAGCACCACCGTGACTACACTCGTTAGCACCACCGTGATTACACTCGTCAGCACCACCGTGATTACACTCGTTAGCACCACCGTGATTACACTCGTCAGCACCACCGTGATTACACTCGTTAGCACCACCGTGACTACACTCGTTAGCACAACCGTGACTACACTCGTTAGCACCACCGTGACTACACTCGTTAGCACCACCGTGATTACACTCGTCAGCAACACCGTGATTACGCTCGTCACCACCACCGTGACTAACACTCGTCAGCACAACCGTGACTACACTCGTTAGCACCACCGTGATTACACTCCTCAGCACCACCGTGATTACACTCGTTAGCACCACCGTGATTACACTCCTCAGCACCACCGTGATTACACTTGTTAGCACCACCGTGATTACACTCGTCACCACCACCGTGATTACACTCGTTAGCACCACCGTGATTACACTCGTCAGCACCACCGTGATTACATCGTAGCACCACCGTGATTACACTCGTCAGCACCACCGTGACTTTCACTTGTCAGCACCACTACACGTGATTTAAAACTCCTCAGCACTTACCGTGACTTTCACTCGTTAGCATTCACCGTGATTACACTCCTCAGCACCCCCGTGATTACACTCGTCACACGGACCGTGACTTACACTCCTCACCACCACCGTGACTTACACTCGTTGCACCACCGTGATTACACTCGTCACCACCACCGTGATTACACTCGTCAGCACTACCGTGACTACATTCATCAGCACCACCGTGACTACACTCGTCAGCACCACCGTGACTACACTCGTCAGCATTACCGTGACTACACTCGTCAGCATTACCGTGACTACACTCGTCAGCATTACCGTGACTAACACTCGTCACCACCACCGTGACTAAAACTCGTCACGCAACCGTGACTACACTCGTCAGCATCACCGTGATTACACTCGTCACCACCACCGTGACTAACACTCGTCACCACCACCGTGACTAACACTCGTCACCACCACCGTGATTACACTCGTCACCACCACCGTGACTAACACTCGTCACCACCACCGTGATTACACTCGTCACCACCACCGTGACTAACACTCGTCACCACCACCTGACTAAAACTCGTCACCACCACCGTGACTAACACTCGTCACCACCACCGTGATTACACTCGTCACCACCACCGTGACTAACACTCGTCACCACCACCGTGACTAACACTCGTCACCACCACCGTGACTTACACTCGTCACCACCACCATGACTAAAACTCGTCACCACCACCATGACTAAACTCGTCACCACCACCGTGACTAACACTCATCACCACCACTGTGATTACACTCGTCCCCCACCACCGTGACTAAAACTCGTCACCACCACCGTGACTA